GCTTCGGTAAGGCCCAGCTCTGCCGCTTTGCCGACATGACCGCGTTCGTGCCCTGGGACGGCGAGGGGCCCTGAGAAAGAGCCTCCTGCGTCAGGAAGCGGTCAGCACAGGATCGCACAAGGCCTCCTGGGTCCTGTTAACACAGGACTCTCCCGACGTGTCGCTAGCCGGCCCAAGGTCGGAGCGGGCAATACAGGAAGGCTAGCCTACGACAAAAGCAGCCGATCAGTCCATGAGCTCTCTCGTGGGGCAACTAAACCCAGCATCCCTTTTTGCTACCCGAAGCTGCCCAAAGGCCCACTATTGAGCCTCCGAAACCCTAAGCCCTGGGAATGCCAAGCCTGCTCCCTCCCCCACAAAGCCCGAAACCCTCACCGCCGCGATGTTCTGTTAAAGGCACCAGCGACCCATGAAGGCTTTTCTTGTGTGTTGCCCTGCAGTGCATCAGCTTGGCAGGTGCCAATAAAAGAGTGCGACCAAAAAACCCTGAACCCGAAAGCGGCGAGTTAGTCCTGATGATGTGCTGGCTCACAGTGCAGTCGCGCTTAGTTTCTCGGATATTGGACACAGCGCAGAGTAAACCCTGAATACTGAATCCCAAACTCTGAACCCAAAACCCTAAACCCTGAACCCTAGACCCCAAACCCTAACCTTAAACCCCAAACCCCAAACCCCAAACCCTAAACCCTAAACCCTAAACCCTAAACCCTCAACCCAAAACCCAAAACCCAAAACCCTAAACCCAAAACCCTAAACCCAAAACCCTGAACCCTAAACCCAAAACCCTGAACCCTACACATCCCCAGGCGCACGGCCGCCCGTGGATCGAGCTGGGCTCTCGGCCCACGCCTCTGGGGCCCGAACCCCGAACACCTGGTGCAGAGTTTTAGGGTTTAGGGTTTAGGGTTTAGGGTTTAGGGTTTAGGGTTTGCTTACTTGAAGGTTCATGGGGCGCTCTACGTAGGATACTAAGTTAGAAGTGAGAGGCAGCCTATATTCTAACCTCAAGCAATGCACTTCTGTAACCTTACTTATAGCTACCCGTGAGCCTTCAAAGTGTGTTTTGGGTGTTTAGTTGTTCTCGGCCTTTCAGCTTTTGGCAAGGGCGTTGCGAGGTTCCGGGAGAGTTGAGTGCTTGCTGTTCTGGGCCTGCCCGCGTTACAGGGGTGGCCTTGTTTGGGAAGGTAGCCATCTGGTTCCTGAGTCATTCTAGCCGCTTGGGTATTGATGTTCGGTATGCTTGTGTGGGATGGGCGCAAGGCGCTTCCTGACTCTTGGCATAAAGTTGGGCTCTGAAGTAACTTGTACACGGCATTCCCTCTTCAGTTGCCCCGAGCTAAGCCGACCCTAAACCCTAAACCCTAAACCCTAAACCCGAAACCCTCAACCCTAAACCCCAAACCTTAAACCCTCTCTGTTTTGTGGGCGTCGCGGCCCTTGACCCGAAATCCTGAGGCCTCCAGAGCCGTTGGCCCTTTGCAAACATGGCTTTTGTATCCTAAGCCCTAAGCCCCATTCTTTCGTAGTTTCTTCGTTTTTGTTATATCGTCGAGTGCTTCTGAATCATCGGAAGCGCGTAGTGTCTAAACCTGACCTGAAATATTCTATGAGGAGGCCCTTCGACCTCGAATGCCCCCCCGCCCTCTCCCCCATCGCACAGCCGCCCAAAGCAGCCTCCGCCCACTTGCGCGCTCCCAAGTGTTCCAAGTTGAGTCGTTTTCATGGGCCTTCTTGGGGCATGTGCGCCATGCCAAGCCCACCCTACTTAATCAACCCTAAACCCTAGCCAAAAAAGCCCTAACCCTAAACCCTAAACCCTAAACCCTAAACCCTAAACCCTAAACCCTAAACCCTAAACCCTAAACGTGATAGACCCTGAACCCCCAACTGGAGGTCGCTACACCCTGGCCAGCCTGCCCCTTGCCCAGCTCAGGGACTCTGCGGTCGAGGTCTTGAAGGGATCCTTGCAAAAAAACTCCTAGAAGACAAAGGGGTTTAGGGTTTAGGGTTTAGGGTTTAGGGTTTGGGGGTTAGGGTTTAGGGTGCAGGGTTTAGGGGATAGGGTTTAGGGTTTAGGATTTAGGGTTTATGGTTTCGGGTTTCGGGTTTAGGGTTTTGGCCTGCAAAGCCCTCAAGGCTCTAAACCCCCTACTTGGAGGCTCATGGGTAGTTAAAAGTAGGGTTCAATATCTGAACTAAGGTTACAATATAGTAGTTACCAAACTCAGAACCGTACCTTCACTACCCATGGAACCTTCAAGTACACCCTCAACAGCATCAGCGGCCGATGGGGGGGGGGGGCCGGGGGCAGAATGGGTCAACCACACGGCTATGGAGAGTTGCTCCCAGGCCTGCGCCCTGTCTGGACCATGGCATTGCCAAGTGGACCTTTCAGCGGGGCGAGCCCGGATTCCCGGATGCCTTGAGTTCGCAGCGCCGGGGTCGTCGGAGCCCTAAACCCCAAACCCGAAACCTAGCTCATGCAGCAGAAACCTTAAGTTCTAAACGCCCCTAAACCCTCCACCCATTCAGGGCTTCAGAGCCCTTTTGAGTGTTGCAAGACGCGTGGCATGGCTGGGTGGGAGAGCCCTAACATCATGCAGCACGTCCCTTAAAGCGGCGGGGGGGGTTCGAAATCTTTAACTTGAGCATGAATTCATACAATTCTTTTAGTGGGCCCAGTTCCCTCCAGCGATGAGTCTTGTGACGTACATGCATCTGTTGCATGCTAAACTTGGAGCCGATGCGGCCAGGCCCTACGCGGCTAGGCAATGGCTGGGTAATGAGGCGCATGTGCGGGTCGAGCAACCATCCCTTGAAACAAGCGTACTTTAATGGAGTGCAAAATGATCAAATGACACTGCTTGGCAAAAAGACGCGTTGTTCGGCGCCAGGGCTTTCGTGTTTCAGGTTGTTTGTCGGAAAGAGACGGGCCAGTGTCTTCCAGAAGGGGGGGAAGCTGATCAGAATCACGCCTCACCTTGTGGGTGCCCTCGTGCTGAAGGTAAAGATGAATAGAGTTTCAACAAGAAGACAAAACAAATCTCATGTAGCTTCGATTCACTAGGGAGGGTCTTGGGACATGCTTTATTTTCCTTTGTGTGGGGGCTGAACGGGACTGGCTGAGGCTTCCAAATCCCCGGACTAAACCCTAAGCCCTAAGCCCTAAGCCCTAAGCCCTAAACCCTAAACCCTAAACCCTAAACCCTAAACCCTAAACCCTAAACCTTAAACCCTAAGTCCAAGGCTCGGCTGCGCGCTGGAGCAAGCAGCGGGCGCCACTTGACTGCACGGAGGCAAAAGCAAACAAACCAAAGAAGGCCGCCCCTAAACGAGGGTTTAGGGTTTAGGGTTTAGGGTTTAGGGTTTAGGGTTTAGGGTCTAAGATCATCCGATAAGATTGGAACGTTACAGAGGAGATTAGCATGGCTGCTGCTCAAGGGTGGTGCACCAAGAAAAAAATCCCTAAAGCAGAAACTCCAAGCCCCTAAGCCCCTAGACCCCTAACCCCCTAACCCCCTAAACCCCAAACCCTAAACCCTAAACCCTTAAATCCCTCCCCCAGGTCCTCGGAGACGTGGACCTCCTGCAGCAGCTGCGCGGGCGCTGCGCTGGGGATTCGTTGCCCCCAGGGGCATCGCGACCGCGATTACGGTGATGGCTGGGTCTAGGGCTTTAGGGTGACAAAAAAAGGGGGGTTTTGCTGCAAATGAGCGGTTGCGCGCGTCCTGGCAACTGTGGTTTTGTGTGCAGACGACCTTCTTCGGTAAATGCTCGGCCTAAGCCCTGAAGCATCTTTGCTCCCTTTCTTGTGGGTTCCTTTTTATAGGGTCAAGGCAAAAGGGTTATTGACTCACAAACTGGGTGATCATCACATACACTCCCTTTCGAATGAGAAAGTATCACGAGATTGCTGGTGTCTTTTCCCTTATGGTTCACCTGTCGGAAACCCAAGCTCTGTTAACTCATGCAATAAGGTCAGTTAGCACTAACCGTTTCACCTTCCGGAATTTCCCTGTCACACCTTGCGACCCTGGTAACGCCTAGTCTGGAGAACGCTCGCGAAGGCTGTAAGACGCCCTGTATGACCGTGAACCCTAAACCCTGAACCCTAACAAAACCAAGCCCCGAGCCCTAAGCCCCAATCCCTAGACCCTAAACCTAAGCCTTAAACTAACCCCGAAGCCCTGAGCCCCAAAGGCTTAAATCAAATCCTAGAAGGGACTTTTTGCACCTTATATAGTCCCGACATACATAAGTAGCGCCTAATAACCCCTAAGGTCCCTTACAAGGGTCCCGCCTTTAGTCCCTTGATTGAACCAGTGCCGGCTCTCATCAGCTCAGGTGCTCAATGCCGCCGTGCGATTCGGGCGGCTCGCTGCAGCCATGGGTTAGGGTTTAGGGTCGAGGGTTTCGGTGCTTTCCCCGGATTTATTTGAAGAAGCCCAGGGGGTCGAAATAGGATATTATATGTTTAGGTTGATGTTTCGTAGTTTCGTCGTTCCATTTATGACCACAGCTTTCTTCTGCAAAGGCTTGTGCAACGAAGCTTAGCTTGTCAATTAGTCTTCCCTCATGATCCCGATAGAACTCTACTAGAATCATCCCCCTCCCAAAAAAAGATCTAACTATTCAGGCCCCTACATAAGGGGTCTACTGCACACCTGAAGGCTCAGGCTTTTGCTCAGCTTGGCTTGGGTTTAGGGTCCAGGGAAGCCGATGCCTTTTGAGGAACTGAATGCCCTGCTTCGGGATGGTCTTGCTTGACCTGTTGAGGACTAGAGGGCGGAGGGTTGAGAAGTTTCCTAGGATGCCCAGTAGTACCCTTATTCCCTTTTTGGGGGGTTTAGGTTCCCTTATGAACCCCTTTAAGCAAAGAAGGGCACCCTTTTTAAGCCTTGGTTACTGGGCAGCCTAGTTTCATACTCCGATGAGAGAGAGTGGCTACGGCTCAAGAGCTTACACCGACCTCCGTGACTGCGCGAAAAAAAAACCTTGCCATGGATCAGAACGAGAAGGCTTTCCAGAAGCAGGACGCTGTCTTCATTGGCTCCAAGCGCCTGACCGGAAGCTAGGGTCCTGCGAAGTACCGGTTTTCATGCTGCAAGAAGCTTCTATCCCGAATGACGAGAGGGAGGGGTGTGTTCAGCAAGACGAAGCACTGCTGTACGGCTTCGTCCCCAAGCTCACTGAAAGTTTTTGAAACACTAAACCCCTGAACCCCCCTCAGCCCTCCTTTACTTTTATCCCTCAAACCTCCTTGGAGCTCCCCTGCCTGTCTAGACAGGAAAGAAGTCCAAGAAGGCGGCGCGCTACTGGCGCAACGTGGGCCTTGGATTCGCGACGCCGAAAGAAGCCAAGGAGGGGAACTTCGTCGACAAGAAGTGCCCTCGAATGGAGGGTTTAGGGTTTAGGGTTTAGGGTTTAGGGTTTAGGGTTTAGGGTTTAGGGTTTAGGGTTTAGGGTTAGGGTTTAGGGGCTTTCAGGGCTGTTGGGGATGCTCTACTGTAGTAATTTGGGGTTTTGAGGGCTTTCGGGCTTTAGGGCTTGGGGTTCAGGGTTCAGGGTACTAATCCCAGCGAGACTTTCAACGGGAGGGGGGGCTAAATCAAGTGGGTTTTCAAAAATAAATACGGGTGGCAACTTCGCAAATTGCATTTCGCTCAGCCCTACGTAAACCTTTCGAAGCCCGAAGGCCCTAAAAGCAGGTAGTTGGGTTGCGCTCCTCAGCACATGGGTACCTTAAACCCTGAAGGGGGGGGGGGGGTGGGTTTAGGGCCTTAGGGTGTTTTCGAAGCACCGACACCTTGAAGAGGGATGCAACGCAATTGAGAATAGATGCCGAGCGGCAGCGAATTGCACATGGGCACCTAAAAGCCCTGATGTTCGAATCGGTTCGAAATCCCGAAACATGCACCTCGTTGGCCAATCCGACATCTATTCTCAGTTGCGCTGCACCACTCTTCAGGGTTTCGGGGTTTCGAAACGGTTCGAGCCCTAAGGCCCTAAACCCTTCCCGTCGCGTTCTTCAGGGGTTTTCTGAAGGCTCAAACATTGGAAGTCTCAGTTCAGTAAACCCTTCGAAAACACCTCAACATTTGCACCTTTGACTCCTGTGGCCTTGTGTCGTGCCGCTTTACACCTTACGCACGAGCACCCGCCCCACACCGTGCTCCCAAAGCACGAACGTTGTGGCTGTGGGTCTAAGTGCAGCAGGGGGTACTAGGGAGTCACAGAGTAGGCCCTGAAAGCCCTTATTCGGGCTTAGGGTTCCCCTGTAAGCCCCTTCAAACCCTTTTCTTCCCCGGGTTACTCTTGGTTTCTTGGCAATGGAGCCTTCCGCTTTGGTTTTTTCGCCTGAGCCTCCCTCCAAATAGCTGGACATGAACCCCTATACTACTATAAGCCCTAAACCCTATCTAAAAAATGTGGATTCCAAGATCAGCGGCATTGATCGAGGTGGCCAGCCCCTTCATGCCAGCGGTTTAAGATTGAGTCTAGCGTAGGGTTTCAGTTTTAGGGCTTAGGCATAGGGCTTTGGGTTGTTTTGGGTAGCTTTGGGTTGTGGGCCAGTGGGGGTTTCAGGTTATAGCGATAGGCTTTAGGGTGAATTACGGGTTAAGTTAGCTTCATTTCGCGGCGTTCGCTGTTTGTGGCGGCTTCCCTGGCCTGGGCCTGAACCCATGGGTTTACGCTGGGTTCAAAGCCCATAAATCCCGCCACCCGGTGTAAACCTAGACCCCCGCCCCATCTCCAAACCTCAAAACCCTGAACCTTCCACCCGAAACTAAGACGACGCATTGTGCAGGGTTCAGGATCCAGGGAGACTGCCCCGAGAATGCCACACAGAATGCCAGACCAGGAGAATGCCAGACTGAGGGAGAAAGCCAGACCGAGGGAGAACGCCAGACGGTCTGGCATTCTCTGCTATCTGTTGAAGAATGCCAGACGGTCTGGCGCTCTTCCGTCTGTCATTCTCGTGGTCTGGCGTTCTGGTTTGAGAATGCCCCGAGAATGCCAGTCAGAATGCCAGACCAGGAGAATGCCAGACGGAGGGAGAATGCCAGACGGTCTGGCGTTCTCTGCTAAAACGCCTCTTGAAGAATGCCAGACGGTCTGGCGTTCTTCCGTCTGGCATTCTCGTGGTTCTGGTTTGAGAATGTTCCGAGAATGCCAGACAGAATGCCAGACCGAGGGAGAGCGCCAGACGTCTGGAGTTCTTCTGTCTGGCATTCTCGTGCTCAGGCATTCTGGTTTGAGAATGCCCCGAGAAAGCCAGACAGAATGCCAGGGCCTGACAAAAACTATCCCGAGCCCTACAGCTCTAGGCTCTGGCTCTGAAGCGGATTCTATCCCTCCAAAGTAAATGGACTGGTGGCCAGGCCGGCAATCAGGCCAGTCCACCAGCCGCCCCACGTAGTCAGTTGCCACGCAGCCCACCTGTCCCCGCCAGCCGCCAGCCCGGGCCAGCCCCTGTAGCCAGTCCAGTCACCCACCCACCACCCCATGATGTAGCCGCCAGCCAACAGTCCATGTAGTCCGCGAGCCGCCAGCCCCAATAGCTGAGGTAATGTGGCCTAGGACTGCCAGCCCCTGTAGCCAGTCGCGTCGACACAGAGGGCCGTTGGGCTCAAGTTCAAGTTTAGGGTTGCAGTTAGGCGCAGGGTTACGGGGTTACGGGTTCGGTTTTAGGGGCTGCGGCTCCGTGCGTGTTTTCTATTTCTTTCCGGAGGCGGTGTCGGAATGATCAAGAGCAAGGACATACAAACACAAGGCTCTCATTGGTCGGTCGGAAGTGATGGCCAGCCAGACTGCCAACCAGAATGCCAGACCACGAGAATGCCAGACGGAAGAACGCCAAACCGTCTGCTCCTCTTCGATTCAATACACGCAGGCATTTTACCAGAGAATGCCAGACCGAGTCGCCAGCCTATGTAGCCAGTCGCCAGCCGCAACCCCATGTAGTCGGTCCGCAAGTCGCCAGCCCATGTAGCCAGTCGTCGCCAGCCAGCCGCCAGAACATTTCGAGTTCAGAATAAGAGCTATAGGATTAGAAGGTAGAATTGGTCGGTTGGTCGGATATATGAGAAGAAATAAACCATACGCCGGAGATCTACAAGATTAACAGACCCAAACTTAGCAACCCTAAGCCCTCGTGTAGCCCTATGCCCAATCAGCTATAAACTGGACTATAACCTGGCTGTCGCTATACGGCTATATGGATCATGCTGCAGGCTACTGCCATGTCTCACCGCGCACTGACACTCACACTCAAACCGAGCTCATGAGCCTAAACTGCCCAAGTGGAAGCTTTAAGCAATCCATAAGCTTCTCCAGGGACGAAAAGAGGGACCCTGAAAAGGAACGTTAGGGGTTATTTAGGGGTTATTTGGGGGCTACTTAGGTGTATAGGCCCTATATATAGGGTTTAGAAAGGGGATCCATCCTTTTGCTCCTTGAGCTTCCCAACCGTAAGCTGCCCGAACCCACCCTACAGACCCTGACTGAACTTGTCGGTCTTGGTCAAACCTAAAACGCGCGCGAGCACTCACAAAAAGTTCTTTCGAAGCACCTTCATTTTTTTTCTGAATTTTGATTTGTGCTAAAACCCCATTGAAACTCTCGTAGGAATCAGTAGTTCAGGGTTCAGGGTTCAGGGTTCAGGGTTCAGGGTTCAGGGTTCAGGGTTCAGGGTTCAGGGTTTAGGGTTTAGGGTTTAGGGTTTAGGGTTTAGGGTTTAGGGTTTAGGGTTTAGGGCAAGAGGTAGGCGGTTGAAGGTCCCTGGCTCTGCCTTCAGCTGGTGCAGAGGTCCCGTCAGAAGAAGCCAAGACCTCAAATCCAAAACTTCCCTCCGGCCCGAATTGCACCCCTAAACCCTTTAAAGAGCCCTTCTCAGCCGTATAGAAGCCAAAAAACGGTTTAATAGCGAGCCCCTTTCTCCGTATAGCCACAAAACAGCCCAAAAGATCCCGCACCGCAACAATTCCTACTTGGAGGTTCATGGGTACTTATGACCAGAGTTGCTTAGGGTCATAAGTACCCTGAACCCTCCAAGTAAACTTAAACCGCCCAGGTCGCAGAGGAGCCTTGAGAGGGCCGTTTCTAAGCCCTCATACAACACCCCGCCCCCCCCCCCCTTACCCCACACATGTTCTCGGGCTGCCACCCTTCCCCCTTTCCACTTCTCCCTTGAATCCCTACCCCCCCCCCCCCCCCCCCCCCCCCCCCGTGTGGGTTTGGTTGGGGGGTTGGGTTTAGGGTGTAAGGTTCAAGGTTCAGGGCCTACCTACGCGCCCCCCCCTTTGTGGTGTGGGTGTGGTTGGGGTGGGGTGCTTTTTTGCTGTGGGTGCTTCTTTCGGGGCCGCCCCCGTGAGTGAGTGACCTGGCGCTCGGTGCCCCCGCACCCGCAGCAAAAAGAAAACGCGCCCCCGCACCCACAGCAACAAATAACAAACGCGCCCCCTCTTGCGTTCGTGATTCCCGGGGCCGCCGCCGGTGAGTGAGCGATCTGGCGCTTTGTTCGTCTTGTCCTGTTTTAGGAAAACCACTATTTTCTCTGTATCTTTGTAGGAAAACCTCTGTTTTCTCCATATTTGAACATGAAAACCTCTCTGTTTTCTCTGTACTTGAATAGGAAACCTGTATTTTGTCCATATTTGGATATGAAAACCTCTATTTTCTTGTTATTGCAAAATGGAAGCCCTCTATTTTCTCTATATTTGAATATCAAGACATCTATTTTCTCTTTTTCTGATAAAGAAACTCTACTTTTCGCTATTCTAGTATGAAATCCTCTCTTTCCTCTATGTTGTCATAGGAAACCTCTAATTTCTCTATATTTTATAACGAAAACCTCTACTTTCTATAGTTTAGTGATTTTGCCTACATTCTCAGACTTCTTCTCAATATTTCATGAGGAAGACATGAGAGAGGAATACATGAGAAGCTGATTCTCTATATTTTCATAAGAGTACATGCATTATCTCAATCTGTGACTCAC